GTGACACCTGTCTTCAGTTTTGCTGCTGATGGTTCCTCCTAGTCACAAGTATCCTGCACACTATACCAGTGGTTCCTCTCCAACCCCACACCAAAGGTCTGGGCTCTCCCACTTTCCATCCTCAGTGGCTTTGTGCTGATGCAGTTCAGGCCAGGTTTACTTCTTCAATCCCTCATATCACTCAAAAAAACCCAAATAAAAAACCGAATTCCCTTAAAAAATTGTTATTGCTTTTATTAATAAAATCCTTAGTTCTTGTATAGTATCTTCCAATGAGGAAGAACATATCTTCATTAGGCTGTTTTTGGGAGCCTGGGGCAGGGGCATGATGGACATGAGGAAGTGGATTGGGCAACTGAATGTCCATCTCCTGAACTTGCTAAATCCAAAGCAGGAACACCCTGCTGGAGGAGTTCAGGCCACAGCTGTGGGTAAGATGGGGTTTTAGTTTCTCCATTTCCACCTTCTGGTCCTTGTCTTAAGTCTTCTTTGACCAGCAGGGCATGTATGTTTCAGTTCCTGCTTCCCATCCTGCATGCTTCTAAGTTTTGACCCAAAGTGCAGGTCATAGTCTCCCTCCACACTCTGGATCCACTCCTTGGCTTAGTTCTCCAGCATCTGCTCACAGGTTCGGGCCACATCACTGAGCTTGAGACGGGCATAGTCTACTCGCTTCAGAGCCATTTGACAGTCTTTCCTTGAAGAGTAGCTGGAGCCCTCATGGGGCTGCCCAGTGGCCACCTACACGACAGATAAGACTGATCAGTGTAGCCCTACCTCCCTTACCTAACCCCCAACCAAGCATCAGGTTTCTTGTCTCTCATTTCTTTCCTGAGTTTGGTCTGCTAAGCAGCCTGGTAGGTGGGTGACAAATCACTTAACTTCTGTTAAGTTCATCGGTGAAACGGTGGTGAAAATAACTACTTTTTAGAGTCGTCGTATTAAAGGATAATAATGAATGCCTGGCACACATAAACCGTAGGAAATGGTGATAGCTGTCATAAGGAACCCCCTTATTCTTTTCTCTTAGAGGAGGAAGCAAGTCCTGGAAAGACGGTGTCAACTCGCCAGTTTGGGAGGCCTGATTTTGCCCAGCTAATGCTCTACTAGAGGATCCCTACGGCTAAGGCTAAGGCGGACAAGAGGAAGGTGCACAACGCTTCGCAGACATACTTACCTGGGTGAGGTAGCGGATCTGAGCCGACAGCTCCGCCTCTACGTGCTGCACCGAAGCGGTGAAGGCTGCCGCCTGCCGGTCTAGAAGCCGCTCATTGGTTTTTTCCTTGGACAGTTCCAGGATCACCGTCCCTGTCGGGGCGGGGAGAGGGCGGGGCTCACTGGAATGAGTGCGGCTAATCGGAGACTGGCACTATAGCCCCGCCCTAAGGACCCACCCTATTTACCGCGCAGGCGCTTAGGATCCCACCCCACCACGCGCCGAGGCTCCGGTCGGCGCATGTGTGCGCAGGTCCGGTTCGCTTTCGGCTCTCTGCCTTTCGCTCGTCGCGTTCCGAACCTGCATTCTGGAGGATGGCGCCGATTTCCCGTTCGATGTCTTCCAGGGCGCGTAATCGCTCGTTCGCCAGGCTGTAGGTAGCCATCGTGCCTCTGGGAAACCTCCACGGGATTCCGTCCTTCTGCTTAGTGCAACGCTTAGGGCTCGGAAGTGGCTGTCGGCTTGCGCCTGCGTAGAGGAAACTCTCTAGCGAACACTACAATTCCCAGGATTCCCAGCGCGCACTCGGTCCACCTGGGAACTAGTGTCACTCCCAGGGCGTCCAGCGTCTGGTCGCGTCTGCGCCTTCCCCGCGGACCACCTGTGTAAGGGGTAATGTTGAAATAGGTCCTGATCTGAGAACATTCAGACCTGTCCACCTTCATGCCACTGTTTTGTGGAGCATACTTAATTGTAAAATAAGAATTTATTAACCGTCTCCTGGGTGCTAGGTGATTGGATTTCTAGGGTATTCCTTCAGACTGGATGGCCATGGGCCCTTTGTCTGCCAACCACGCCCGAGGAAAACTTGACTTGGTGAGTGTTACATTATTCTCCCCAGGGCTTTTCTCTGACTGTGAGTCCAGCCGCAGTACAGACTATTGAAGTATTTATTCTCTGTTGCTGTCACCTTCCAGCTTTTTTCTTTTTGCTTTTCTGGTTACCTATGTTGTAGGATCAGGGGAGTTAAAGAAGAATGAGGCAGACTCTCATGTGACACTTGGATAGATGTTTTGTTAGAGATATGCCCAGGGTGTATCACAAAGAATCCAAGAGGAAATGCTGCTTGAACTGAATCCCGAAGGGCTAACTAGATGAGAAGTGGGAGTGGAAAAGGGAAACACCATAGGCAAGAGCATGTGAAAAGGCCTAGCACATTTGGAATCCGGCAAGGGGTTTATTTTGAGTGCAGTGTGATGGTGGTTAGGTGTGACATTGGGGAGACAGGATCCGGGAACCAGGTCAGGAAAAGACTTGTAAGCTAAGTAATGTGGACTTTATTCACATTTGGGGACCTTTGAAGGATTTTAGTAAATGTTTTATGACCAGATTTACCTTTTTTTTTTGAAAGATCACTTTCTACAGCTTGCAGAAGATCATCAAGAATGAAACTAAAGTGGTAATTACCAGTAATTTCAGAGACTCTGGAGGCTGAGGCAAGAGGATTGCAAGTTTGAGGCTAGCCTGGGTAACTTAGACTCTTATCTCAAAAAAAATTTTTTTAAAAAAGGCTGGAGATGTAGTTCAATGGTAGATCACCCTTGGGTTCTATCTCCTGTACAGGGGAAGGGGAGGGATCCAGTGACTGCATTTTTTTCCCATGACTCAGCACACTTAATTTTTTTCTCATAAAATAGTTGGGTGTGGATAATTCAGTGCTCCACAAATCATACAGAACCAAGGCTTTCAGTGTACCTTGGCCATCTTTAGGGTCTTATCCTCAAAAGTGTGGTCTGCAGTCCAGCCTCATTGGCATAACCTAGAAACTTATTAGAAATACAGAATCTCAATCCCCAACCCAGACCTACTGAATCAACTTTGTGGGTTTTTTTTGTGTGTGTGTGTGTGTATGTGTGCGCGCGCGCACGCACGTGCGTTTGGTGCCAGGGATTGAACCCAGGGCACCTAACCACTGAGCCACATCCTCAGCCCTTTTTTATATTTTATTTAGATACAAGGTCTTGCTGAGTTGCATAAGGGCCTTGCTGAGTTGCTGAGGGCAGCTTTGAACTTATGATCCTCCTGCCTCAGCCTCCTGAGCTGCTGGTATTGCAGGCCTGTTTCACTGCACCTAGCCAGTGTTTGTTTTATGATCCCCTGGTGATTTGTACAAGTAGAAAATTTGAGAAATACACTCCAGAGCATGTGTTGTTTGCATTGTCAAAATAGTTGTTTCCATTCCTGGGTTGCAGCTGGCAGAAGCTGGGAGAGAAAATGCAGAGGAGGCTCACCTGTCTCAGAGAACTAACCCATATCATTGCTACTCACATCCATTGAAGAAAACTTAGTCAGATGGTCTCTGAGGTTCAGGGAAATCAGTT